GAGGAGAATTTTCGGGATGTAACAACGTAGAGGAATGGCTCGGGTTCAGAGATACGTTCGAATCACTTATACACACAAATGACACAATAGATCCAATACAAAAATTCCACTATTTAAAGGCTGCGTTAGAGGGCGCGGCGGCTCAAATCGTCAAATCTCTCGAGTTTTTGGCTGCAAACTATGCTATCGCTTGGGAAACTATTTGCAATCGTTTCGATAATAAAAGTTTGTTAACGTATAATCACATAAAGGCTATTTTTAGTATAACTTCAATAAAGGAAGAGTCATCAACTCAATTACGTAATATGATAGACACATTAAACAAACATTTGCGAGCACTAAACGTTTTAGGGCAGTCGACCGAGCATTGGGACGCGTTGTTGATATATTTAGCTTCGAGCAGGCTTGACAGTATAACTGCGAGAGAATAGGAGAAAGAGCGAGTAGATAAAGAGCTTCCAACATTAGAAGAATTTAAAGGCTTCCTCAGTTCGAGAGCGAATCTGTTAGAAACCCTAGAGTTGAATAAAGGGGGCACGCATAAATCAAAATAGTCAGATCACACAAAATCAAAATCGTTTCTGATTCAAAAGCAAGAATGCGCATTATGCAAAGAAGCACATCATTTATCGAATTGTTCCAAATTCTTACAACTCACTCACCATTCTTACAACTACAGCAGTCCTTAAAACCTCCGCAAAAGCGAGCGGAGGTTTTAAGGACTGCTAAGTTGTGTCTTAACTGCATGAAGCCCGGACATTTCGTCAAGGTCTGCAAGAGCGGTGCGAAAGTGCGCCGGCAAGCACAACACACTGTTACATTTTGAGAAAGTCTCGTCCGAGTCAACAGGGAACACCGAAGGCAACGATAATTCATCTTTAGTCTTGTGTTCACACAATAGGACAAGTGACCATGTCATTCTGTCAACAGCAACAGTACTCGTGGAAGACAGTCGAGGAAAGAAACATAAGGTTCGTGCACTACTCGATCCAGGATCACAATCCAGCCTAATGACAAACAAATTGTGTGAGGAATTACAACTCGAAAAAACTAAGGTAATCGTCAATCTCGAAGTCAACGGCGCATCATGTCAAATAAGACACAAGTGTAGAGTAAATATCACATCATGTAACAGTAGCTATCAGTTTCAGTTGTCATGTCTTGTTATACCGGAAATCACAGACAATTTACCTAATAGCAAGATAAGCATACAGGATCTCCAGATTCCATCAAACATCACTTTAGCTGATTCACAGTTTCATGTACCTGCAAAGATAGACATTCCCATAGGGGCAGATTGGTTCTGGAATCTCCTCTGTATAGGCCAAATCAAGCTCGACAAAACACAGTTGACAATGTAAAAGACAAAACTAGAATGGATAGCGGCAGATCCATTGGCAAGCAGTAGCGCAACGTCAATACGTTGTCATTTGAGCAAATCTATGAATGTTGAAGAACAAGTAGCCAAGTTCTGGGGGCTGGAAGAGTATTCAGACCGGAAAATACTTTCTCAAGAAGAAAAAGAGTGTGAACTTTACTTTTCACAAACGAGCAAACGTGATGAGAGCGGTAGATTTATCATCAATATTCCTTTCAAAGAGAATCCAAGCATCTTAGGTAATTCATACAACGGATCATTACGACGATTGCATAGTCTGGAAAACAAATTACAAAGGAACCCTGTGCTCAAGGAACAATACACCGCATTTCTTGAAGAATATGAAGCATTACATCACATGAACAAGGTAGACGATACTTCACAGTCAACAACCGCCTACTACATGCCGCATCACGCGGTCATCAGAAGCGAGAGCCCAACCACAAAAATTCGTGTAGTCTTCGATGCATCAGCAACCACAGATAACGGTATTTCATTGAATCATATTCGAATGGTTGGACCCACATTACAAGATGACCTGTTCTCAATACTTGTCAGATTTAGAAGCCATGCATATGTGGTAGCAGCGGATATCGAGAAAATGTACAGACAAATACTCGTCGCCCCAGAACAGCGCTCGCTACAAAGAATATTGTGGCGCAAAACTACCGAGGATCCAATAGAAGTGTTCGAATTAAATACAGTCACATACGGCACTGCATCAGCACCTATCTAGCAACGACATGCATGATGGAATTGGCACAGGAAGCCGAACAACAATGGCCCGAAGTAGCAAGAATCATTCGACAGGATTTCTACGTAGACGATCTCTTGACAGGAGCAAACACGAAAGAGGAGGCAAAGGAGCTAGCACACAAGGTTTCGCACGTGCTAAGTTGAACAGGATTTAAGCTTCGAAAATGGATCGCAAATGAAGCTACAATCATAGAAGACATACACACAGAGGATCAAAATCCAACTGAAATAAACTTTAAATGTGGTCTACAAACAAAAATTCTCGGATTGGTATGGCAAGCGCATCAAGATATGTTGGTTTATAACCTAAAGGAATTACCTTCGCTAAAGGTATCCAAAAGACAAATACTGTCCGAAGTGACTCGGATATTCGATCTGTTAGGACTTTTGGGTCCATGCCTAATACTCGCCAAGATTCTGCTACAAAAATTGTGGATGTACAAGTTATCTTGGGATGAAGCAGTTCCAGCTGACTTGCATCATACTTGGATATCGTTTCATGCTGCACAAGGGGCGTGTGGAGCATGCACATATGTTACTATAGTTCAGAAGATCATCAGAATACAAGGCAAGTGCGATTGTTATGCTCCAAGACAAGAGTCGCACTGTTCAAACAACAGACAATACCTCGATTAGAGCTCTGTGCGGCTCTCACACTTGCACGATTAATGAAGAAGGTATTAAGTTCCTTAAATATAGTGTTCGACAAGATTACGTACTGGAGCGATTCCACCATAGTACTCAATTGGATACAAACGCAACCAAGCAAATTACAAGTATTTGTATCAAACCGTGTCGCAGAAATACAAGAACTAACGGATATTCGTAACTGGAGACATGTACCAACAGAACAAAACCCAGCCGATTTACTTTCACGGGGCGTATTTCCAAATCAACTGCGGCAATCAGAACTCTGGTGGCACGGTCCGTTATTTTTGTCAAATTCAGAAGATGAATGGCCTGTTACACCTCAATCAGAAGTTCCAACAATGGAAACAAGACGTACGGTTGGTGCAGTTAAACGCATCCAGCCAGCTAGATCATTCATATTTGAAATTAGCAATAGCCTAAGGCGTTTGATTCGAGTAGTAGCATATTGCAGGCGTTTTTTGAATAACTACAAATTTCGAAGTAGATCTGAGTCAACATGTCTAACAGCTACCGAGCTGAAGGATTCATTACACAATCTTGCGAAGCTAGCTCAAGAGGACTCCTTTCCAACCGAAAGGCGAATACTTCTGCAAGGAGAATCCATTACGAACGGAAAATTAGCAGCACTCAATCCGTTCATTGGTCAGGACGATCTGATACGTATAGACGGAAGATTAAGAAACTCAGAGTTCCACTCAGATAAAAGGCATCCCATCGTTTTGTCGGCAGATCATCAATTTACAAGGCTATTATTCAAAAACGAACACGTGACTTTATTACATGCAGGACCACAACTACTCTTGAGCTCAATTCGTGAGCAGTTCTGGCCGATCGGAGGCAGAAATTTAGCTCGAAAGACAGTACATGATTGCATTAAATGTTTCCGGAGCGATCCCAAGCAGTCGACAACTCCAATGGGAGAGTTGCCCAAATCGCGCGTATCTCAGACAATGCCTTTTCACAACACGGGAGTGGACTATGCAGGTCCTTTCATAGTAAGAGATAGAAAAGGGAGAGGGAGCAAAACGAGCAAGGCATTCGTATGTTTGTTCGTTTGCTTCGCGACTAAAGCGCTTCATCTGGAATTGGTATCTAACTTAACGTCAGAGGCATTCATCGCTGCACTTAGACGGTTTTCGGCTCGACGCGGTAAACCTGCACACATATATTCCGATAACGGAATGAACTTTGTCGGAGCAAACAGGGAATTAAGAGAGTTAGCGCAATTGTTAACGGACAATGCGGAATCAATCGAAAAAACTATAAATGAAATCGGCATTAGTTGGCACTTTATACCTGCGCACTCACCACATTTTGGCGGTCTGTGGGAGGCCGGGGTGAAGTCCACCAAATACCACTTAAAACGCGTAGCAGACAACGCAGTCCTGACATACGAGGAACTTTACACATTGTTAGTTCAAGTTAAAGCGATATTAAACTCTCGCCCTTTAACTCCCATGTCATCCGATCCCAACGATCTTGTTCCTATTACTCCTGCTCACTTTCTTGTTGGTCGTCCGCTCACTTCACCAGCAGATCTTACGCTAACAGAATTGCCAGAATCTAGGTTGTCGAGGTGGCAATTGGTCCAAAGGCTTCAGCAGCATTTCTGGGCGCGGTGGAGCAAGGAATACATCTCAGAATTACAACAGCGCGTGAACAAGATGAAGTCAACCAAACCCATCGCTGAGGGCACGATGGTACTTATCAAGGACAGCAAGTGACCTTCCGTCACTCAAATGGAAGCTTGGACGTGTCACAACAATCCATCCAGGGAAGGACAACGTGGCCAGGGTGGCTACCGTACAAACCGCAACAGGAGCAACGCGTATCGCGACTGCGAAACTTTGTCCGTTACCGATGGAATAAAAAATGTGATGTAAACATTAGCGTTAGATTTAAGTTGTTCATGCAGATTGCATTCATTTACTGCTTAGCATTAGATTTAAGTTGTTCATTATTATTTCTGTCACTTGTGGATCATAGTCCGCGAAAATCAAACCATTCGCTGCATAATATTATGTTCGAAATTGTTCGCGATAGCGAGAGTGATTAGTTTCAGTTATACAATTTAACGATTAGTTCATATTGAAAGTACCTTTCAATGTTGGGGAGTATGTTGAGTTTCTTTAATAATTTGTTCCTTTTATTATTTCACTTCCTTTATCAAACACCTTCAAAGGTACTCTGGTTTAGCGCTTAAGGAAATCCAATTATTTGTGTCTGATGCGTTTCGCGCGCGAAGCATTGTGGCGTGATGGCGTTCGGGTAGCAAGAAAGGGGGAAGATAAGATGGCGATAGATCGGGTAACAAGAAAGGGGGAAGATAAGATGGCGATAGTTTTCCACAACGTTAGCGTGCGTCTTGTCAGTCAAATAAAGAAAAGGTGAAAATCCAGTGAATACAGTCCACTCATTAACTGACCAGTACCCAACATTGGTCCTTCGAGCTGGATACACAAAAGGATAGGCCACGGAGGCAAAAGAATCACGCATTCGACAAAGAGAAACGATAGGATACACGAGACATTCTTAGGCCATCGGAACGATCGACATCGAGACATCGTACATCGTGCACATCAAGGCATCTTCATTGTAAAAAACGAGATTGCAAGCATAACGCAAGGCTTGTATTAAGCACAAGACGCATATTTGGAAATTGCATTGCGGCCGTCGAACAATCGATCAAAGCCATAGATCAAGTCAGCGATCACGCAGAAAGGACACGGCCATTCACACGGCAACGAGCGCAGCGACCAATCAGAGGCCAAGCAGCGGCGCTACGATCGAGGAAAGAGGGCATACAACACACAGTGAGTCAGTGAGCACGTCCTATCCGATCCTAATCCAATTATAGTCATAGAAATAACACAAAGAGTTTGTATACAATTAGCTTTAGATTAAAACGACACAATGGAGGCACTCGTCAGACGTCGAGGTCAATATAAAGGTAGAGTCACTGTATTCAAAACACATATCGCTAAAGTTATAAACAGTTTTCCAGGCGGTACATAGGCATTAGAAGAGACATGCAGGTTAGAAATTCGAGAACGTCTCGCTGTTATTCGCGAGGTGTACAAAAAATACGAAGAGGTGCAAACACATATCGATGAGCTTACAGATGACGAAACAGACACAAGTCCATACAGACAGGTTTTCGAGCAAGAATATTTCAATGTCGTAGCGCAGGCGGAAGCTTTACTTGCGCGTGGCCGAGCGACACAACAGCTTCTGGGTGCATCGACGAATGAGGAACGCAGTGCAGAATCGACACAAGAATCACACGCACGGGTACCTTTTTTTTTACGAGGGAGAAGAAAATCTTCACATAGCCCAGTCCCGAGGGGGGACCCCTAAGAGAGGTGCACCCATCGGGCCTGGGAAGACACCCGTCGGCCCGTACCGACGGGAGTGTCGGATTCAACCTCCCCGTGGTCACAAGGATACACCGGAGAGGCCGCCTACCGACTAAAAACTCCCTCCCTTTCGTACACCCTCCAAGGCCTAAAGGGAGACATCCCGGAACCGCAGCCTAGCATATCATCAGGGTGCCTCCCCTACCTATAGAGCCACTTGGCCCTCTACCGCCGATGTTCGGGTTTAACTACGCAATAATAATAATAATAATATTGGCCAACATGCCACGCCATCTTTCGTATTACTACATTCTATTCTTGAGTGGTGCAAGGGTCCACATAGGCTCCTGGTTTTACACACATATGCACCCCCTCTACACCCCCGCGAACCCGTGCACCACCGCGTCATTAACTGCGAGTTCTATTCCTCGCTGTCCGACGTGTCCGCTTGAGGAACTAGCGCGTCCTCGGGTGCCCGGATAACCCCCCGTTCACGGGCACGCTCATCTTCCTCCTTCTTCCTCATGACACTTTCACAGAAGGTCATGAAGACGGTCCAAACGTTTCCAGAGAGCATAATGGCCCTCACCACCGCCTCATAGGTCCTATCGACCCCTATTACATGTAAAATCTCTCCTCTCTGTTCTGCCCAGGCCGGACAGAACAGGAGGGTGTGCACCGACGTATCCGCTGTTGCGCGGCAATAAAAACAAATTGGGGAAACCCGACGTCCTATCTTGAAAAGATAGGACTCAAACACCCCATATCCGGTCAAAACCTGTGGTGCGGTAGGTGAGAGCCCCATGCCCCCTCTCTACTCACCTCTCCAGGTGCTCCGCCATAGCGCCGCGCACTAGCGCTCCGGGACCGCTCGCAGGTAACTCTAATAGTCGCTCGCGCCATCTCCAGAGCGAACGCTGTCGCTCTACTTTTATTATATTGTCCCTCTCGCGGGGGGACAACACCCCATTTTCGGTAATGATCTGCCGTCGCCAGAGATACGATCTTTTTAATCTATCCGCCTCAAGGTCGAAAGAGACCATCCTGGATAATATGGCCGCCGCATCGTGAGATATGGTACGATACCCTCTCACCGTTCTCAAGGCCAGCTGCCGCTGCAGTTTCCTAACTTTGTTGGAAATCCAACGATCTTTTGTCGCGGTGTTCGCCCATATTGGCGCCCCGTACATAACAACGGCCATCGCCGCGGTCGCGTACATCCTCCTGCGCGTTTCTCCAGGTCCACCAATATTGGCGGTAATTCTGGCCAATGCCATCGCCATCATCCATGCCTTAGGCATGACAAGCCGGAAATGGTCCCGGAAAGTCCACCGCGAATCCAAGGTCAAGCCCAGGTATTTCACGGTGGACCCAATCGGGATCACCTCCCCTCCCATCCTCAGGGTCGCATTCGCAGGAATCCTACCTGTAATCTCGCATCACTAACACCCGTATTCATAGTCCTTCCTTATTTTAAAGGCCATGGCACACACTTTCCGTACCAGTATCCATAAGACGTACCGTAAGAATCAGCCAATCACAGTAGAGAATTCTTTTGAACTCTTAATTCTAATTGGCTGATTCTTACGTACATCCTACTGGAAGCTTAATACCCGTATTCATAGTCCTTCCTTATTTTAAGGATTGAGGAAGTCTCCATGAAAGATTCCTCGATTCTCCAAGGGCTCCTTATTTCATAAACGAATCTCAAGTCTGCCTTCCCGAAGGAAGGAATATTTTAGGGATTTTAGTAACATATTGATTGCAGCATGTTGTAATATATAGTATATGCAAACTTTCTAACGTGAATAAAGGTTATAAAGGCCATGATTTCATCATAATTGTTTTGGTAAAATAAAGTTGTGTATTTTGCAATAATGGACAAAGATAAAAGTGCTCATTATACGGAGAAGGAGAAGATGCTTTTGGCGCAGCTTATTTCAGAAGAAAAAGCTATAGAAAACAAAAAGACCGGTGCGACAGATCTAAAAGAGAAAGCGGAAGCGTGGGAGAGAGTAACCAAAAAATATGCTAGTCAAGGATTTACACCTCGCACCAGCAAACAATTAAAGAAATGTTGGAATAATATGAAACAAAGGTAAGTATTATATAGCGATTATATAATTAATCAGCCTATCCCAGTGAGAAATGACAATGGAATCAACATCAAATTGATGTCGATTCGACGTCGATTCCATTGTCATTTTTCACTGAAATTTTGTCTATTATATACTTTTCTCAAATATACATCTTTTCTCAAGTGTATACTTTTCTATGTATCTTTATAATTGGTTTCTATTATATTTTGATACTTATTATTTTATTAATTGATCATTTCAGAAAACGAAAATTAAGCACGACGTTCCGGCATGAACGGCTTATGACAGGTGGAGGTCCTGCGTCAGTACAGCCGAATGATCCAGTGATGGAATTTATGGATGCAACCAATCAAAACTTAGATGTAGAAATTGCTTGTGCATTTGATAGCACTGCAGTATTTGAAAAAGAATGTAAACAGTATACATGCTAACAGCAATTAAGATAATAATTATTTTTATTTTACATTACGGCAATCATTTTTAACTTTTTACTTTTCAGATAATGTAAAGACGGATTGTAAGTCTACGAAAGGAACATACATCATCCAAGATGAAAGTGAGAATGAAGAGGAAAATGTTATCAATACAATTGATATATATGATCACAGCGTTCCAGCTATTTCTCATAACACACCATTGAAAAAGAGGACAACTTCAAATATTAAAAACATAAACGTGAAAAAAATTTACGAATTAAATTATAGTAATTGTTAATATTAATGATTTCGTTGTCATTTTAATAACGTTACTGATAAAATATCGTAATGCATTACATGTTAAACTTTACATATTACAACGTTAAATAAATTCGACGTCAGTTGACAAGTATAAAATGAAATACATAAATGTTTCAGAATAATCTCTTTTGCTTCAACTAAAAAAATAATCTTTATTTCAATAAATTAATGATAACGAAATATTATAGTAAAGTAATTGATTTTCAGAACATTCGTGACGAGAAGGAATTAAGAATAATAAAAATAAGAGAAGCAATCGAGCAACAGAGGGAGCTTCATGCTGCCAAAATGAAGATTGCTGAAAAAGAGGAGAAGATCGTCCTGC